ATCGAAAAAACCCACACTAACACAAACCACGTCTTGTCCTCGTTTACCACCAGACCTATTCGCTTTGCTTCCCTATCCAACTTGGAAAAGGCAGAACAGACTTCGCGGTTTTTGCTACCGATGATGTCGATATCATCGGCATAAACCAGCAATTGCACGCTCTTGTAGTAAATTGTTCCTGAGCGGTTCAGTTCTGCAGCTCTTATTATCTTCTCCAACATCAGATTAAAGAAGTCACATGAAAGGGAGTCGCCCTGTCTGAAACCCCGTTTTGTGGCGAACGGCTCGGAGAGGTCTTTTCCAATTCTGACGGAGCTGGTGGTATTGCTCAACGTCATTTTACACAGCCGTATGAGTTTTGAGGGGATGCCAAATTCAGACATNGTGACAATAGGCTGGTTTTCTTTATACAGCCCGTTCTAGTTTCTGCTAGTAAAAATTTTACTAGCAGAAATTAGCAGGAGTGCCAAAAAAAGAAGAGCGTAAAAACGAGAGAGAGCTGCTAGTTTCTACTGCCGCAGTTTTCTGCAGCAGCATTAATTGCAAAGCAATGGAGTGCACTAAAACGGTGCCTATTCTCTAAAAGATTAGGTGACAAATGCAAAATTTTTGCATTTAGCAAAAGTAAAACACGTTTTTTGCTGTAAATTGAACTGTTTTGGCAGTTTCTACTCGTTCTTCTTTTCGCTTATTTGTTTAAGTGTGGTACACAAATGTCAACGGCCAGGACGGCGCAATCTTGTATTCTATCATTCTTGTGGAAACTGGTGATATACCGCCCTATTCCCACACCACTGACAAAATCCATTATATGACTTTTGTCACAATTACTGCGCCTAAAACACAATGGCCCGTAGTCATAGTCAAAATAAAGTCGACTTTAAAGTTAGTTGCAGCTTTTTTGACAGATATCCCATTGAAAATTATGTCAAAAAGCTGCAACTAACTTTAAAGTCGACTTTATTTTGACTATGACTACGGGCCANGCTTTTTTGACAGATATCCCATTGAAAATTATGTCAAAAAGCTGCAACTAACTTTAAAGTCGACTTTATTGTGACTATGACTACGGGCCAATATAAATATTTTTTCGCCGTTGTCACTTACCCAGTAGGTCATAACAATAAAACCGACAATTGTCATACGACAGCTTAAAATAAATTTGTGGCATAGTATTAGGCGCAGTAGTAAAGGCAATAGTCAGCCGCTGAGTTTTGTCAGGGTGTGGGAATAGGGCGGTTAGTACATTTTTGACGTGGTCTTGCTCATAGAAAACATCGAAATTAAACAAAAGTTTTTTGTTTATAACTTTTAAACGGTTAATAATATTAGCCCACCCCCTCCGGATTGTTAATAGGGTGACCAAAACGCGTCGTTTGGTACCCCTCCCGACTTTTCCGGACCTTTTTTAGCGTTTGTTACCCTATACTAGAGAATAACCCTTAGTTATATGCAACTAAAAAGTTTACTCAGTTTTATTGCGAAAAGTTTACCATTTTACAAATTGTTCTTTTGTAAATAATACGTGTATAAACGTAGTATACCTTCCAAAATGTGCAAATTCACCATTCAATCGTGTGCTTTCCACTTAAGAATTTCTTTAGCAAAGCTCAGAACCCATTGTAGCATTGCCAACTTCAACTGGATAGAGGAAAATAAAGTGGAATCACGAAGAAAGGAAAATAGTAGAAAAAGGGAAGCAAGTAAAAGCAGTGAGGAAGAGGTCGTCGTCGAAGTGTTGAAAATTGAGTTTCATTGAAAATTTGTGTCAAATAAAAAAATGGACGTTAAAAAGATTCGTTGAAAGTTGTTAAACTAATCGTATGCATGCTTTTTTTGCAGTATTAAATAAAAAATTAATGCATGTTCGTTCAATGTAGATGAAAGTGTGAAACGAACGTGAAAAATCGAAGTGAAAAAGTGAGGCCAGCCTCAGCAGCAGCGGTAGAGGCAGCGGCAGTCCATTGAAAAGGTGAGCTTGCAGAAGAAAGATTTACCGAAAATGTAATAATGATGTCAAGCAGCGGTGCATTGGCGGTTGGGTAGCAGCGATGAAACAGGAAGTACCTGCATCATACTCAAAAATGTGCCGATGGTATCCAACAGCGTTGGTCGCTGTGGCTGTATAAAAAACAACATGCTGCGCTATTGCGGCGAGACATAATGCCGACGTCGACGTAGCATGATAAATAGGCTCTGGCGTTGTTTTTGGTGATTTAGGTGCTTCAATATTATTGTTCATTCACATGTATGTTCATATATGAAATGAATGAAATACATATTAAAAACCTGTGTTATGCTAAAGAAAATAAACAATCGTTTAAACCAGTTACGGGGTGATGGTAATGCCCCAGTACGACAAGAGCTTAAAGTTAACACGTTTTGTATTACTGTGGCTGGTTGGTGCAAAGTTTCCGCCTCTTCGAATGGATACATACATACATATATACATTTTATGTATATGTAAGAATGTATGCATCATGGCACAGTGTGGATGACTACGTGCCACAATGACGCGCCGCTTAGCTACTGAAATGCACCACCAATGCATTACATATGCGTCGGCGCATTTTCCATCGCCGCTTTCTTCATTTTGATTTATATCAACTTACATATGTACATACATACATAAGTTGATAGGTTATATGTAGATAGCATATTTTATTTTTGTGGTTTTGATTCATAATAATTTCCCTTTGTTTTTTTTTATAAATGTTTGCCCCTATAATCCACCATGATTTCCATTATTTTTTAATTACTTTCAGTGCCTACGAATTCCCTTTCTATTCCACCTGCTTTTCGCTTAATTGATGCACTTCAACATATGTATTTTTGTTAGTAATGTAAGCCCATAAGTGCATAATTATGTAGTGTCCCAGCGACAACTCCATTTTTAATGCATTACCTTTTCATGTATTTTACTAATTACATTTTTTTAACTGTTCTCTTCCTTTTTTAGATTGATAGACCAATTAAAAAATTTCGTGTCCGGCGAATACGAAGAGAGATAAACGAAACGATAACAAGTGGGTAGTGTATAATTTGGACAAAACAAAGTGTGTGAAAAGGTAGAGGAAAGAAACTGTTCATGTACTATATTGAGGGAGTGCGTGCGCCGCATGCAAAACACATTGTTCGCTGATCAGTATAACACTGCTTATCAAGTGAGGGCCGCAGCAATAAAATTTAATAACAGCAGTTATCGTCTATCGTGTTGTCCACAGCGATGGCTGTAAAAGTGCAATTCGAGATCGGTCATACGGCGAGGTTGCGCAGCAAGAAAACACCAGAAGGCTTCACTCACGATTGGGAATTGTATGTGCGCGGTGTTAAAGAAGCAGATATCAGCACCTATGTTGACAAGGTCGTTTTTAATTTACACGATTCCTTTCCAAAGCCAAAGAGGGGTAAGTAAAGTACTTTACTACATACGCATGCATTACATCAGAATACATCTTTATACTAATGCATATGTATGTAGGAATGTATAGGATTAGGAATGTACGTTTGTCATTCAACAGATATAGAATAACAAATATAGAATAGCGCGTGCAAATGTACGCATTGATGCACGCTTGCCACATAACTAACAGACACACACATAAAAGATAAATACATCTCACCATCAGCCCATGCATGAATGAATACAAATACGTATTCTGTGATTAGGATTGCAGAGATGAAAGGGGTGGAAAGGTGTGTATATACATACTACTACTACTGTCTACTAGCCAGTTAGTTGAGTTGATGAGGGTGCCAAATTCCTCCTATAAGAGGGTGGTTGTTGACGTGCACAAAGGAAGTGTAGATCTGCTGTAGACAAATCCTTATTGACTTGTTTGGCTGTTTTTGTTTTCTTTTCGGGGTTTTGTATTAACGCGGTTGGGTGACCAATGTAAATTCTTGCTTCCTTGTTAACGTGATAAACCATTTTAGTTTTGTTATTTTGGATTGTGGCCTGGTGGTTTTTGAAGCATGGTGATTGGAGCAGTCGGTGGTTTTGGAGGGTATTGAAGCGTTTTATGACTTAATAAACAACCGTTAATAAAGTAGGGGAAATTACCTCGGTACTTCTAATTATATACAATTGCAAACTATGTATATTGTAAACCTACTTCCAGTTTTTTAGTCTGGCTTCCAACCATAGCATATATAGCATATTTTGTTATTAGTTCGTCTTAGCTGATAATTACCCTGGTAATTTACAAATCTCAAAGCCACGCATTGCTCATTATCTTCTAAATATAAGTAAGTATGTCAAAGCGGCCTTAGTAATTAATTACTGAGGAAGTTACTGCATTAAGCTGCCTTAATTTGATACTTTCAGTACAGAACTTACTGTCTTAAGTGCTTGATAATGTAATCTTTATCCATTAATTGATGATTTGTCAGATTGGTAAGCACTTGTATTGCCAAATTCAGATTGACTTACATTTGTATATACATACATACATGTATGTGTAAATACATGTTCTTCTATTACTTAACTCTAAGGTAGTATGTGAATTTATTTGTATTGTGCCATTATCTAAAATCGCCCTCATATGAAGCAGCGCAACTCAAGAGGCGTTTTATTACCATTAATTGCTTTCACCTCTGCCCAATCGTCGTCCCTTTTAGTATTGTGATTACCAAATACATCTGCCGGAAAAAACATTTACAACCCTTATGATGATGATTTGCTTTGTAGATAATATTTTCAACACACAATAAAATGAATCTTACACTTTGATTTTTGCTTGATGCTTTATTTGAATTACATGACAATAAAACAATATCCACTAATTTAGAGATACATTTTTGTTTTGCATTTTAACAGATTTGAAAAATCTCCAGAAATGTTTTTCCGCCGGGCCCGGAGTTTTCAAGGGGGCCCTGTGCTCAGACTCCACTGAATATTTCAAGATGTTTTGCATAAAAATTATAGATTGTCATGATGAAAGGATGTAATATAGTACCAAAAAATTCTATGTGTAAACATAAAACAAGTGAAATATTATTTAATTTCGAGCAATTTATTAGTTCAGTTGAACTCTTAGAAATCAACCCCATTTTGGCCGATTTTTGGCACATGCACACGGAGGTTGTTATTGTTGTTGTAGCGGCTACAACAACCCCGCCCAGGTCGGTTGGTATCTCAGTCGTTGTCGTCAAGTTCCACTAACGGCTGCCCTAGGAAGCGTGCAGTTTCTGCGGGGTTGGTCCACAGGGACAAGGCCGTTAGGGTTGTCGGGTTTTCCGGGCATGCGAAGAGATGTTTCGAGTCATGTGGGGTCTCTCCGCATGCCGGACACTCATTTGGCACATCCTCATTCAATCTACTCAGGTAGGAGTTTAACCTGCTGCAGTAGCCGGAGCGAAGTTGTGCTAGTGTCGTTCGCGTCTCCCGAGGCAGATGAAGCTCCGTCTCGTCTGTGTCCGGGGGCGGTATGCCTAGAACGGCATTCACAGGTCTAGAGTCTACATAACTCGAGACTGACT